TGGCATTTTTTTAAATGTTGAATTTACTTTTAATCTAAATTATTTTAAACTCAGTAAAAAAAATTAAAACAAGTTACCCATTTAGGCTTCCTCCCAGGAAATTTCCTTCGAGGAAATATAATCCAGACTATGTGCTAATATTGCCATATTTTCTTATAAGCTTCCTAAAATTAAAAAAACTTGTTGTAGGAAGTTTTATATAATAAAAAGTTAATAGTTTTTACTTTTATTTATTTTTTTCTCCCTTAAAGTTGGATAACAGAACAAGATTCAGAGGAATAAAAGGATATTGAAGCTGCTTTTTAAGATGCAATCTTGAGGATATTTTTGGCAGATTGAAGGACCAAAATTCTCTGGGATTCCTTTGACGCTATTCCTGGATGTGATATAATGAAATGATTGGCACGGTGAATATCAGAAGTACTGAATTGAAAATAAAGTCTGGTGGTTTATGGATATCATTTTGTAAATAAAATCTTCAATTTCAACTGATCTCTTTAATCTTGGATATTATTTTTCTAGGAACTGAATTATTGTATAGGTTGATTCATCCTATAGTAATGTTTCAATATGTAATATTATTGTACTTATATTTTTTATTTTTTTAACAAGTGTTCTGTAAAAATGTCAAATTAAGTAGACAGCTTATTCTCATAAGAAATATGTTCTAGTTCTGGGAAGGATATACAAGTATGAAGTCATACAGTATAATGTAAGCTGGTATCCACTGAAATAGATAAATGTATTTACTACAAACATTCATAAATATCCTGTTCCAGCAATTGAAGTGGAACACATTTTCTGTAAACACTGCAATGTCAGAAAACAAGCTCTAGAACTCATTTGAAAATGGTTAACATTTCTGATGTTCAGCTGGAAATGTCCAAAGGTATGGTGCCAACACATCTTAAGGATAGCAGACTGGAGAAGGCTAGCTGGTTTTACTTTTTTTCCAAAACGTATTGTTGCTTAGTAGAATGTATATTCTACAGGAATATTCTTCCTGTACTGCATTTTGCTATTTTTGCCTAAACCTCTAATCCAGCGGTTCTCAACGTTTGTGTGACGGCGACCCCCGCCACACAAACGTTATGCGCATGCGTGGCGCGGTGCGCATGCGCGGCGGCGCCCCCACGCGCGGCGCGCATGGGGGGTGGGGCCCCGCGCACAGTGCGCATGCGCGGCGCCACCCCCGGAGGCGCGGCGCCGCCCCCATGCGCGGTGTGCATGCGCGGCGGGGCCCCCGGAGGCACGCCGCCGCCCCCACGCGCGGCGCGCATGCGCGGCGGCGCCCCCCAGAGGCGCGCCGCAGCCCCCACGCGCAGCGCGCGTGCGCGGCACTGCCCCCTGGAGGCGCGGCATGCCCCCGGAGGGGACAAAATGGCGGATCGCCGCGTTTGGCGACCCCACAAAAGAGGTCGATCGACCCCAAATGGGGTCGCGACCCATAGGTTGAGAACCGCTGCTCTAATCACTTTTTATATGTGATTTCTGTTATAAAATTACAGGCAATGGTAGAAATTGACAATACGTTACTCACAATTATTAGGATATCTGTTGTGTTTTCCAAGAAGTGCTTATGCCTCTCCAGTAATTAAAATTATATTTAAAATCTCTTGAGATGTTATACATGAAGAGGTGAGCATACAAAAGATCTGGAAAGGTTACTAAAGATTCAGTAATCTTCAGTGGTGAAACTTAAAGAAACCTGAAGATTCAATAAACAGTTGAAGTTTTTATATTATCTGGTGATAGTGGCAGATGTTCCACCATTTGGGGACAGAGGGAGATAGAAATGGTTACAGTAGAATATACCTGTGGCTGTGTAGAACTCTCACAAAATCAGGGCTTTTCCCTGTGTATAAAGGCAACAGGATCATTTTGAGCCCTAGCAAAGTAGTCTTCCTTGTATTCATCATGATTGCAGGTCCATTGCCTGGAGAATAACAATGTATTCCAACAACACAAAAAGTAGCCATTCCCAATTTAAGCTGATCACACTTAAGGCTGCCCTGACAAAGTTCTAAAGCATTTACAATGTATTAAATGTTGCTGGTAGTTTGAATAATATAATTGCTTCATTAAATCAATCGAGGTTGGTAGTAGCACCATTTAAAGTGTTAGTCCAAAATATGTCCTCCAACTGCCCCTGCAACATCTAGATCAGTGATGGCAAACCTATTACACCGTGTCAAAGATGACACACCACAACATTTTGAGTATCACTATAGTTTTCATCACATCCAGCAACTATTCTCGAAAGCACACCTTATTCTCATGAGATTTTTGGAGGCTGTGGAGGCCGTGCACCACTAGGATGTGCTCTCACACAACTTTGGACCCTCTGGAAGTTATGTGAGAAGGCCAAGCTCTTGTGTGGCCTCCAGACTCTCAGAAAATGAGTTTTTTTACTCATATTTCATTTTTATAATCATTTGATGTTTCTTTATATAATACATAGCCTCATACATGATTAGACTATTTTTTTTAAAAAAAATAAATATGTAAATGTTTTTGTTTTCTTTTTTTGGGAGGGGGGACATACCAGTGGAATCAATTTTCTGAATTTTTGACATGCCAAAATCAAGATCACGTGAAGTTAGTTAGCAGTATAATGCTTAGTAAGACCACACTTGGAATATTGCACCCAGTTTTGGTCACTACAGTATAAAAAAATATTAATTTTCTAGAAAGAGTGCCAAGAAGAGCAACAAGGATGATTAGGGGGCTGGAGACTAAAACATGAAGAACAGTTGCAGGAATTGAGTACCGTATGTCTAGTTTAATGAAAAGAAGGTTTAGGGGTGACATCATAGCAATGTTCCAAGATCTCAGGGGCTGCCACAAAGAAGAGGGGGTCAACCTATTCTCCAAAGCACCTGAGGGCAGAACAAGAAGCAATGGAGAGAAACTAATCAAGGAGAGAACCAACCTAGAACTAAGAAGAAATTAGTTAGAAAAAAAGTTAAAACAATTAATCATTGGAACGACTTGCCTCTGTAAGTTGTGGGTGCTCCAACACTGGAGAGTTAGACAACAATTTTTTTTGAAATAGTATGAGGTTTCTCGAGCATGGGGTTGGTCTAGAAGACCTCCAAGGTCTCTTCCAACTCTGTTATTCTGTTATCTAGAAAGCAAGGATACTATCACTCCAGCTACCATGTGCCAATAAATAAATATCATCTAATGACTTTTTGCTGAGTTGTTAAGCGAACCATTGCAGTTGTTAAGTGAATCTTGCTTCCCCCGCTGACTTTGCTTGGTGGAAGCCAGCTGGGAAGGTTACAGATGGTGATACAGAAGTACATTCCAGTTGTCAAGCATCTGAATTTTGACCACGTGACCATAGGGATGCTGCAATGGTCATAAATGTAAAAACTAGTCATAGGTCTCCACAATTGGGACCAGCATCTCCATTGCTAAGCAACACAGTTGTATATTGAAACATGACATCACCATACCAGACTTATACCATCTGTTCTGCTGCTGTTGTTAAAGTGAATCAGACAGGTCTTCAATCATGACATCATATGACCACAGCTTATGACTTCCTGTCGCATATTGATAGCATGAATATTATTTTTAATTTAATGCATTATCTTGATTGCTATTAATATGAACAAAAAAAAATTTTCCTGTTTCAAAATATCCCAAAAGGAACCAAGCTGATCTTAAGACTTTTTCAATTTTGTGCAAGGCATTTGAAAGAGGATATTCAGCAAACGAATCATTTTGAAGTGACTGTAAGTGCAAAGATGATCAGGAAATAGCTTTGGAAGTAGCTGTATGGATCTTATTGAGAGTTGAGTATCATACAAATTTAATAATCTGAAAAAAGATGCAGCGATTTTAATGATTTAAAATGGGATGCTTCCTTTGTGCTCATTTATGTCATGAAGTTTTGCAAATGTTTTTATCCAAAGTAGCATATGAATTATATATATTTTTTCATAATTTTGCTAATAATTGATACACAATTTAGCTTGCACAATTTTCTAGTCAGATAGTATATTATGTATTTGTATACTTAGCTCCAATTTCTAAAAAAGCTCTGTACTCTACATGTGTGGGTGAAATTTCTGAGATGAAGATTACAAATCATCTTGTCTGTTAGACTGCTGGATTTAGCTACATCCAAAACATTGTACAAAAGTAGCAACATGTGTCTTTTAAGTTTATTTTTTCCTTTCATGTTTATTTTCATTGAATAGTAATTTTTAGTCTTCTAAGGAAACAGGGAACATTAGAATGACTCAAAAAATTTGAAATGCAATTTGTTTATTTGTAAAATCATTTTGAAGCTTCTCAGTGAAAGGAGCCTAATCTCATCACAGCAGAGCTATAATTACGTTAAAGAGAGAAACTTTTACAATGCTTTTTCCTTTTGTTTTTGCATATGATGAGTTATTTTTGTTTTGTGTACTGCACGTCTGCTTGAAAATTGATTAATAAAAACTATTTGCTGGCTTCAAAAAAGGAGAAAAGGAAGAGAACCATGGAGATTAGTAATGAAAATAAATATTCTGTTTTGGTTGGCTCACTGTGTCTACTAGCTGGGGATTTCTGGGACTTCTTTGAATTCTGGGAATTGAACTCCATATTTCTTAAATTTTCCAAGTTCGAGAAATGCTGCCATTCTAACAAGGGCAGTTTGATTTTAAAAGTACAGTATAAACAACTAAAATGAGAACTTGGTAATGGTGCTCAGATTCATATGAGCAGGCATTTCCTGTGTTTACACATTATTCATTCAAAATATGCTTAAAAGAAAACAAATCGGTCTTAATGTTAATGCTGAGAGATACATAGGCGACCATTACCGCAGCTGCGCTGTAAAAGATCAGGCCACCACTAGATGGCGGTCACCAGGAGTTACGAAATCCGGATCTTTGCAGCTGAGGCGCGCAAGGTCAGACCCCGAATTGCAAGAGAGCGGTCGGGCTGGGCGAAGAGCGGCCCCGAGGGCAGAGAAGCGATAGGCGGCGCAAGCGCTGAAGAACGGGAGACGGAGGAGGAGCCTGGGTGGATTATGGCGTCATAGTTCCTGGGTGTATGCGCGTTAGGGAGCCCGGGTTGCTGCAGTAGCAGAAGAAGCTACTCTAGGGTGCGAAGAAGAGCCACATCCAATAGGGAGGTGAGGTTGCAGCCGCAGCTCTTCGGACCCAAAGGGCCACGAGCCAGTCCAGCATGTTGCTCAAGGCTTGCTGAGGAAGCTGCGGCTCCCCTAGTCCGAGCGGGCGCGAGGTAAGACGGGCGCCCTTGCAAACGCTGCTGGTTGCTTCCCGCGCTCTCGGTTGCAAAAGCTGCTTCCCTGCGTGGGGGGGGGGGGAGTCAAAGCTCTGCAGCAAGAGTCCCAGCCAAAGAGGGTGGGGAGCGGCAGGGAGGGAAGGAGGACTAACGGCGGCTCGGCGCTGCGTCCTCTCCCTCGCCTGCTTTGGCGAGGAGCTGTCAAATAAACACTAAGGAGGGGGGTTCGCGCTGCCCCGCTTCTGCTCAGAAGGGGCTGCTTTTTACTCCATTGTTCGGTTTTCTTTGGTCAACTTGGAGGGGGGGGGGACCGGCGCGTGACGGGTTATGTTTTGCCTCGGCCCGCCGATGTCGTGGGGAGGACATATTTAACAACCACGGATGTGCCTGCCTCGTAGTACCGGTAGGAGGGATGCTGATGTCTTTCTCTGGCGTTGGTGTGATCCAAGCGCTGCATTCGTCTAATGCAAACTGGAGGGCGTGCGTCGGCCAGAAATAATAAAAAAGAGGACGAAGAGATGATTGTATATTGGCAGGTTCAGGGTTTTTTTTTTCTAGGGCATCCAGGATTATGTTTTGCGGAATGGACTCCGGGGAGTTCTTGCCCCTGGGCCCTGCTTTTTCTTCATTAATCTGGTTTCTTGGCATGTGAACGGCCTTTTACTTAGATTATTACATTATAGGTCCCTGATTCGTCCTGTGAATTGATAATGAGACCTTTAAAGGGGATCAGCTTGATATCTTCCCAAATAACCCTAAATTTTATGATAAAAGATATTTGTTAAAACTACTCACAGTTTCTTGTAGAATGCTAGTGACTCAGGAGCTGTTACAAAGACTAGCTTAATTTTAGGCTTGGGTTACTAATTTAAAACGATTGCCCACACAATTTACTTTTCACCCTGCCTCAGCAACAAGACCCATAGTGTTGCTGTCCTCACCTCTGGCCAATCTCCAATGAGGTGCTGCTGCTAGGATAGTTCCTTCTCTTTTCCTGGGATCTACTGGGGGTTGGGGTTATCTAAAATCTTTCTTGAATTGTTTATTTTTGAACGTTGATCTGACTCTTTTTAAGTAACATCAAAGCTCCAGCTGATTTATAATATCTCACCCTATCTTGCTTGGTCTGGTGCTTGATGTTAATTTCATTTGTCAGTTTCAGATGTTTCTGCTTCTTAGGATTACAGTATTTCAGTTTGTCAATGGGAATATCAATCTCCCAGTAGATCTGCATTTGATCTTACATTATATTGATATTGCTGTGTTTGAATTTAAGGAAAAAAAGAGAAAATAGCTGGTGTCTAGTTTCTTTGGCAGCCAAGCATAAATGGAACTGCAGGCACAGAGCCCAGTAATTTGATGGGAGAGGATGGGCTTACAGCAGATTGCCTTGTTCATCTGGAACCCAGCAGTTCGCTGACCCCTGGAGGCCCATCCTCCAAGTGCCATAGATTGTCCATGTGAAAAGTCTTTGCAAATGCTAGGAAGATGCTTCCATTCTTCAGAAGCACCTTGAATTAGCTTAGCCTGCCTTAGCAATGGGTTGGCCACAAGATAGAGGTTAGAGTAATGGGGGCAGATTGATAGTACAGCAAACAACAGGCAGCTAAATTTTTGCCATATATGGAGAAGACCCCTTGAAATCAGTGGGGGATAAACAGCTCAATTTCAGTTGATTTGGTGGGTCTAAATATGCCTTACGTGGACTTTGACCATTTATCATTAAAAAGAATGCTTTTTTTGCTGGAAAATAGAATACAAATGCTATTGATGCTCACTGAAACAACTGAGCTTTAAAAACAATGTTAGCCAAACTTTTAATGAAACCATCCAGCAGTAGTTTTGGATAGATTTACTCAGGTGTTCACAATTTCTTTATCTTTTTAAATTTTGTTCTGGGCCCAGTACTCTTCAACATCTTCATCAATGACTTGGATGAAGGGATAGATGGGGAACTCATCAAATTTGCAGACGACACCAAGCTGGCAGGAATAGCCAACACTCCAGAAGACAGGCTTCAGATCCAGAAGGATCTGGACAGACTTGAACACTGGGCACTAACTAACAAAATGAAATTCAATGGTGAAAAAAGCAAGGTTCTACATTTAGGCAAGAAAACCAAATGCACAAGTACAGCATAGGTGGCACAAGTACAGCATAGGTAGGCACCATGCTCAATAGTAGTAACTGTGAGAGGGACCTCGGAGTCCTAGTAGACAATCACTTAAATATGAGCCAGCAGTGTGCTGCAGCTGCCAAAAGGCCAACACAGTGCTAGGCTGCATTAACAGAGGGATAGAATCAAGATCACGTGAAGTATTAATACCACTCTTCAATGCCTTGGTAAGGCCACACTTGGAATACTGCATCCAGTTTTGGTCACCACGATGTAAAAAAGATGTTGAGACTCTAGAAAGAGTACAGAGAAGAGCAACAAAGATGATTAGGGGACTGGAGGCTAAAACATATAAGGAACGGTTGCGAGAATTGGGTATGTCTAGTTTAACGAAGAGAAGGACAAGGGGGGACATGATAGCAGTATTCCAATATCTCAGGGGCTGCCATAAAGAAGAGGGAATTAAGCTATTTTCCAAAGCACCTGAAGGCAGGACAAGAAGCAACGGGTGGAAACTAATCAAGGAGAGAAGCAACCTAGAACTAAGGAGAAACTTCCTGACAGTGAGAACAATTAATCAGTGGAACAGCTTGCCTCCAGAAGCAGTAAATGCTCCAACACTGGAAGTTTTTAAGAAGAGACTGGACAGCCATTTGTCCGAAATGGTGTAGGGTTTCCTGCCCGAGGAGGGGGTTGGACTAGATGACCTCCAAGGTCCCTTCCAACTTTACTACTATTATTATTATTATTATTACACCTATACAAACACACACAAACAGTAATTATGTAAAATAATACAACTATTGATGACATAACTATACACGAAGTTACTCATTGCTACAGTATGCCACTTGTTCATGATTATCCAAAAAAAACTGAAGGTTGGATATTCTCAGCTTTTTGCTTAATATGAACCAGAAACCTAGATAGTATTGAAGAAAAAATATTTCTTTAATTAATATTTCTGCTCAGCTTTTCCTGTTTGATTACATTTTCAGCTAAGGCTATATTCCATATTTTCTGGTTGTTTAAATATCCTGCTTCATTCTTCATAAATAAACTACAGTATAGCTTGACAGGAAATAATAGCTCTTTATTTGATGGTTCTATATGCAAAGCATTACTGTATATGGCAGTGATGGCGAACCTTTTAGAGACCAAACTGCAACCCAAAACCCACTTATTTATCGCTGGGTACCAGGTGGGCATGGCTGTGGTGGTCATGGCAGACTGGGTGGGTGTGGTCATCACGATGTTGCTCGTGGAGAGGGATGCCTGTGGGGGCCAGGCAGGGTTGGGAGAGATCCTGGGGCTCTGTGGCAGGTGGGGCGGTGGGCAGGAGGCTCATCCTGAGAGGTGAGACGAGGCAAAGCGAAGCAGGGCAGGAGTGCCATTGTCGCAGGGCAAGGCAGGGGCTGGGGCGGCTGCTGCCTGATATCATTGCCCTCCCCCCCCCGCACACAGAGGCCAGCGAGTGCATGGGTGCTGGGATGCATCCAGCCACATGGGACTTTGGCAACTTAGCAGGCGGCTGGTTGAAGAGGGACGGTTGCCATCTCCGGGGCATGGTGCTCGTGCCTACAGAGAGGGCTCTGAGTGCCACCTCTGGCACGTATGCCATAAGTTCGCCACCACTGGTATATGGTGATAATAGATTCAGTATGAGGGAAGGGGATATCTCTTTCTGAATAAACTAGATAGATAGATAGATAGATAGATAGATAGATAGATAGATAGATAGATAGACAGACAGACAGACAGACAGACAGACAGACAGATCCTTTTTAAATGAATGAACTTTGCCACTATATATGGATGTAAGCACCAACTGTCACAGTTTTTCCCAAGACAAAAATTAATTTTTTTATAGATCTATAACAATCTCACTGAGAGGAAGGGCAGGGAGAACACTAACTGAATTATCTTGAGATATATTCCCTAATTTGGCAGATATAGATTTAGCGGGTGTTGGTGAAATATACAGTCAACTTTTCCAAATAGTTCATCAGTAGATTCCAATATTATTCTCCCAAATCTTTTTTAAACTCGTACAAATGCTAGGAATTTGTATACTTACAGATCTTTGAAATCAAAACTTTTTCATTTTTATCATATTGTAAAATAAGTTTCTGTGTGATCATCAATTGTCTTCTTTACCTCTGATTTAACCCTGAAGCTAGAAATAAAATATATTCATGTTATTATGTAAACCATTAAAATTAGCTTGTTTTAGATCTTTAATTAACTGCTTCCCTGTTTGGGATTGTCCTTTACTATACAGACAATAAGTAGAGACCTGCTGAATTACATTCTTTAAGATCAGAGGTTGTCCTTTGCCTAGTTTAGCTTTAAATTTAACAGTGACAGTATTTTTACAAGTCTTGCATGACATTTCTTAAGTCACAATTATGCTTATCATTTTTCTACCATTTTAAAAGGCATTTTAAATTAGGCACAGATAGGCTTCTTATGCTTATTGATAGCTGACTAATATGCTATATTTTTTTGCCTCCGTATACATGATTTTTTTTTCACTGTACTTTACCCATTATTTTCTGGGACATCATTTGATAAGTCCTGGAATTGCTGTTTCAGTCTAAGGAGGATATTCATTTTAATTGCAGGTCTTTTCCCAACCAGAAGTATTGTAATCTAGATTATTTATCTCTCATCCTGATAGAAATAAATCCTAATGAAATTAGTTGTGTTTATCCTAAAAGTCTTTTTTTCCAGTTCCAAGACTGCCACTCACATTCTTTAATCCTAGTATGCTAAAGAGTTTGTTTATGCATCATGTGTTTTCTCCTATTTATGGTGTACATAATATAATTGGATTCTTTGGAAAATGCAAACATGATAGTATATGTCTGCTTGTAAAACT